ATGTTTAGTTGATCTTGAATCAGAAACGGATGTTAAAGATGCTTTAAGAAAAACAAATCAATTTATAGGAAATCGTTATATTGAGAGTATAAAATATTCATAATATTTTATTTTTCAATAATCTATTATTATATTTAGTTTTTCGAACAACGATTCACGAATACAATTTTTTTATTAAACATAAAGGTATGATTTCATGGCGTGAACCTGTTATTCGTATGAATGGTCTTCCGTATTCATGTACAATGGCTGATGTACAAAATTTTTTTAAAGGTATATTTATAATTTAAAAAATAAAAAAATTTATTTTTATTTTTATTTTTTTCTTTGTAATAAATGTATATATATATATATGTAGACATTGCAATAGCTCGAAATGGTATTTATATAACACGAGATATGACGGATAATGCACTGGGTGGTGGATATGTGGCTTTTGTTACTATGGATAGTGCTTATAAAGCAATTGATATGTATGATCAAAAACATATTCAACACAGGTTCGGCTGAGCATGGATTTTCGAGGAAAAAAATCAACAGATTTGTACAAGGAACGAATAAAACGAAAAAAGGAAATATAAGGAGGGAAAGGTCAGAGGTGAGGTGTCATTATCAATGGTGCTGCCCAGATCTCTGTCAGGTAGAGATAACAGATTCATATATATGTCGTAATACGTGTGTTATGTGTGCGTATATATTGTACATTTTAGTTAATATTTCTATTTATTTTTATTATCTCACTAATGATAGTTTGATAATAAAAAAAACAAACTAATCTTGAATTTTGTTTTCTATAGGTATATTCAATTATCTCCATCGACATATGATGAAGCTAAAAAAACAATTACGAATGATGCTTATTTAAATGGAAAACGATTTGCAGGTGAAAATGATGATGAAGATAAAAATAAGAATAATAGACGAAATAATCGAAGTCGACAACGTTCACGATCAACTAGTAGAAGTAAATGAATAAGTTTTAAAAGTATAAATTATTTTAAATGTTTGTTAGAAATAGATCGTCGTTATCGACCAGCACAACATCAGCATTCACCATCGATTTCTTCTCGATCACGATCTCGTCGTAAGTAAAAAAAAATGATTACGTTTAATTACACTTAAAAAAGTACACAACAAATAAAATGCACGGTTTAATTTTATTTTATAGCTCAATCAGAAAGTACAAATCAACGTAGGTTTTAATTTTTAAAGGGCTAGATTCTTTTAAAAGTCAATTAACCTATATATATATATATTAGTTTTTTCTATAAATTGAAATTTTATTTAGTTTGTTGTTTTTTTCTTTATTAAATAGAATCTCATGATGATTCTCGCCGACGAAGTCGTAGTCGAAGTCCAATACGTCGTTCATCACATACATCAATTCACAATGGAGAATATCTTGTTAAAATGCGTGGTATGCCTTATACTGTAGTTGAAAACGATATTCGAGAGGTATAATTTATTTTCAAAAAAAATTTTCAACGACCGAAAAGATATTATTTTAGTTCTTTCCATCATCTTGTCAACCGGTGCATATTGAAATTATAAATGATCGTCGTACGAATCGACCAAATGGTGATGCTCATATCTATTTTAATACAATGGATGCAGTCAATGAAGCTGTAAAAAATGATAGAAAATATATGGGTAAAGAAAATTCGTTGTTTTTCTTCAAAAAAAAAAAGAAATGAAAAATTTTTTAAAACTTTTTATAGGTAGTCGTTATGTTGAAATTTATTTTGATTCACATTGTCTTTCATCATCAGATCAACGACGTAGTAAAAGTAATGATAGTTCTCATCGTTCATCTCGTTCTCCATCGCAAACAAAAAATGATGAAAATAGTCGATCTAGAAGTATGTTTATTTTATTTATTTTTGAATAAAAACAAAAACACTAGTACTTCTTCAATTCAATATTCTAGGTGGATCAGAAGATAAAATAATATGATAATCAAATGTAAATAAAGAGAAAATTTTCTTGTGTGATTTTGATGGGTATTGTTATTATTATTATTATTATTATTATTATTATTATTATTATTTTTGTTATTGCTCATCTGTGTTATTTCCAAAAAAAATACTACTCTTGATGGATCGTTTTAATCTATACTTTAGTAGAGTGTGATATACTAGCTTTATTATGAATATTATATTTGTTTTTTTGTTTATTTATTCAGATTAATCAGTGTTTTAATGGAAATAAATATTTAAGTATTGTTTTTTCGTTTACTCTAAGAATAGAAAATGAATAAGTATGAATATTTATTCAGATGTTTCTGAAGATTTTTGATGTATGATATCTTTGCACAAAGCAGAAGTGTAGATAGAACTACTTAATCGTTTAAAAAACTAACTAAAAAAATAATGATAAGAAGTACATTTATATTGATTAGCGTTTCTTGTCATATTATATATTTACTGAACTTGAATAATGTAGAAGAATGTGAGATGTCCAACAAGAATTTCGTAAACGTATGTATTTCGCTTGAACTATTATTACTTATTATCACTATGGCAATTTGATTGATAAAACAAAGAAGAAATTTTTTTTCTTATGGAAAAATTAATTCGTGATTATTTACGTATACTCGATATTGATCCATTCGGATATTTTATTCGATTAATAAATACATCACACCATCAATCGCTTAATCTGAGTAATATTTATATTCGACAATCAAATATTAATAATCAAACATTAAATTTCTATACATTTAATAAACAAATACGATCTTTATTACATAATGATGAAGTAGTTACTATTTATTCGAGGCACAACGATTTAATTAAATTCGATATTGAACCTCATATTTTTATTGCACAAGATATTTCACAATGGTTAACAGATCCTTATATTCGAACAGAGATTTCAATTAATCAAATTATATTTCATTCCTATAAAATTTGTTCAATTACAACAAATGATGTTCCATTATTATTTATTAATCGATCGATTGATTCAAAACAATTTTCAACAAAAAAAATGTCACAATCAAATCAATATACAAGATTTATTTTTCCTTATTGTTTGTCTATTGATAACATTGTCAATCCACATACTTGGGCAATATCTGATAAAAATGAGAATAATCTTAAAAGAAATATATATCCTAAAAACAATCAAATTGTTAAACATTTTGATTCATATTCACGACGATTGACTACTGCACCTAAAATAATTCAATCATTAAAGGAAACATAACATTATACATGTTGTTTTTTATTTAATCCTTTATCAAATCAGGTATTTTGCAAATATGTCAAAACAGACAAATTCTATAACGTTGAATTTTTAAAAAAAAAAGATACACTGTCGAATTGTCTAGAGGAATATTTCAATGATTATCTTATAAAACTAAAACTCAAACACTGTGTGATGATCAAGTTTCCCATTATTTTGAGAGAAATAAAAATGAAAATAACATTAAAAAAAAGAGCTTCTTTTTATTTCAAACAAACTTTTGCATAATATACTTTAAAAAAAATTGAAATGAAATAGTACAAAAAAAATCATGGATATTTATGGAAAATGTGATCACCATTATGCTGTTCAACTGTGCACAAAATCTTTGAAGAAAAGAGTTGATCATTTTGTGAACATAACTCAGATAAATTTGTTGATATATTTGTTCAAATCTTCTCGTGTTTTGACTTTTTTTGATAATTAATGTTTTTATTGATATGGTTTCATGCAAACTAATTAGAAGACTACAGATCTTGATGTATGGTCAGAGATAGAACCGGTCTGAACAGAACAGATCGGTAAATGTCGATCTACTGACAACTGGCCAGTTAATATACCGAAACGTTACTTTCTAGTGGACTCGCATAAATGACTAACGTATACCATGAATCTGGGATACTTGGAAGATTCTTTGAAAAAATGTTCAATATGCAACTTTCCATTGAAAAACAACCATACAATAAAATATTGGTATATTGAATTAGATGTTCGCACTCTGTTCATTATCTTTTTTCATATTTCAATCCAAAAAAAAGCATGCGATTTTGTTATTGATAAAAAAAATCTAATTGTGAAAGTTGCCTGACTGATTTATGAGATTAATTGTTGTTAAACGAACAGATTTAATCTTGGTTGAATAGATATTTTCCTAAAAATATTATTTTTTTTCTAGTCCAACCTATTTCTTTATAATGATTGCTTAGTTTAAAATTCATGGCATCAGCATGGTATTTTGACGACCACCTGCTGGTTCTATTTCTGGATATGGTACTTGAAATTTCTAATGCATTTTTCTCATTGTTATAATAGATAATAACGACATCACAAAGATCTTCATCTGTTGTCATTTAAAAAATTCATCAGCATAATTCAAATGATCCTTTTATGCAAAATTATGAGAGACTTCCACGACCCACGTTTAAAAAAAAAATGATTTAAGGTTTTATGATTTATTGATGATGAGACATATCCAAAATAATGCGACATTTGACCATTGTATAGTGCCTCAATTTTAGCCTTATAAAAAAATCATTAAAATAGTTCAATGGAATTTTTCATTGCCATTCTTCTACTGGATTTACTGCGGTATATTTTAGAAAAAATTTCAATGTTATAAGATTTGTCTGTATTGAGATATTTGTAAAATATACGATCTTGCAATCATTTTGACTTACTCGATATATTGCCTTGTGATGAAGTTAACCTTTGAATGATATTTTTCAATAATCCACCATGTTCTAATATATCAATAAAGCAAATAGAAACAAAAGATTGCGATATACTACTAAAGTATTATGGTACCTTTTAAATATCCCTCGATTGTTTGACATAATTTTAGAAAATGAGGATTAAATTGTTATTTTATATTATATCATTTAGTTCTAATCGTTATTTCAATAAGATATAAGTAACTTAACTTGCTCTTGTTTCGTGTTTTGTTTTTGTTGTCAAATCTTCTTTTATACTTTCAAAAATAAGTGTCTTTGTTAAAATAATAAAGGAAATCATTTTAATTATATTTATTATTCAAAATGAATTATCCAACACTTCAAACTGAAGCAAGATTGGCAAAATTTAAAGATATTATCACTAAATATGATATTAATTATGATTTTGCATTTCGTCTTCGAGCTCTTGAAGGTTTTGAAATAGTTATGATACTTGATGATAGTTCATCTATGTATACACCAATTATTGATCGAGATCAAAAGGATATTTCACCATTTAGTCAATTACCAAGTCGTTGGGATGAACTTAAACATATTGTATCAATTATTGTTGATCTTGCCTCAGTATTAGATCCTGATGGTGTTGATATATATTTTCTAAATCGTTCACCACTATTACATGTAACAGATTCATCACAATTACATGAAACATTTTCTAGATTACCAAATGGTCCAACACCTCTTACACGTGCTCTTAGTGAAGTACTTAATGTAAAGCGTTCACATGTTCATGATCGAAAATTATTAATTTTAATTGCTACAGATGGTTTACCAACTGATGATCATGGACAAAATGATATTATTCGTTTAGAAAAAGTTTTACGTAATGAAAGATTTCCATCTATTGATCATATTTATATAACATTTATTGCTTGTACAGATGATCTTCAATCAGTTGATTATTTAAATAAATTCGATAAGAAAATTCCTTATGTTGATGTTTTGGATGATTATCGAAGTGAACGAAGAGAAGTTTTAGCTGTACAAGGTAAACATTTTCCATTTTCATATGGTGATTATGTTGTGAAAATTTTAATGGGTTCTCTTGATCAATGGTTTGATAAATTAGATGAAAAAAAAGTGAAATTAACTAGTGTTGATGGCAAACAACAACGAAGATTTTCTCGAGAAACTCTATCAGCACTAAAGAATAATTGTACAATTTCGTAAATTAAAAAAACAATATACATATATATGGAACATGTAACATTGTGAACAATGCTTCATTTTGTAAATTTATTTTATACAAAATAATGATTTAAGATAAAATCGATTAGATTCATGAATTTTGAAAAGATTACTGGAATTTTTAACTTCTCTGAAATATTTTAATTATCTGTAAAATCTCATTTTATATTTCATTCAATATTTATCCTTCAAAAGTTACAAAGAAATTGATGTATTTCGAACAACTCAGTTCGAATTTTTCCTATAATCACAATCGTATATGTTTTTTATATAATATTTGGTAACATTTCTTGTTGAATCACTAAGATAGGTATTTGTATCAATCTTCTAATGTAAATTAATGTTTTAGACATCTTAATGTACAGTGGACCATTACGTAATTTTTTTGGCAATGAAACAACGACGTTGCGAAAAAAAAATGTTCTTTTGACGAAGGCTTTTTTGATGTGTGTCCAACGTAATGAGATGTCTCTCCAATCAAATACGAAACTTTAGAAAACGCGTGTATTTGCCTGAAATGAGGGGAGATGATATGGTCTTAAATCGGCCCATAGGACTTTTTTCAGCAAGATTCCTATTATCTTATATCAAACGAAAGATCACATTGAGATAAGTATTTTCGGTGACGGAACCAACTATTTTTTCATAAACAAATAAAAAGTTTGGATGACGTCAATATTCGATATTTTTAGCCTTGAACTGCTTGCATGACCAATCTGATACAAGTACTTATTTTCATATGAAGATAACAAAAAAAATTTTTTTTTTTCATCTAGTAGATCATATGGTTTTCTAACACTACTATAAATATCATGTTTTTTGCTAGAGTCTTTCCGACTTTATAGCCGAAATATGACCTCAAAAAAAAATATCTTTAGAGTATTAGACACGTTCAGTGAAGAGCTCCAGTCTCTTCAACAGCTAGAGCAAACATCACCGTTTTTAATCATAAAGAACCCTTTACATTAGCTACAAAATCCACTCATTACAATTAAAAAAAGGTTGGAGGGAAGACATCTCATGTTGGTGCAGACTGTTATTGGAGTGCCGATTTTGACTAAACATCAGTAGTATTTCGAGTTTTGTCTTCTAGTTCTATTTAAAATAAAAAGTCCAACATCAGATTCGTGTTCAGCATAAAAAACTGAGTCGATCTATGTATGTTTCAAAAGCATCCAACGTCTTTTATTTTCCTCGAAAAATCCAGCTAGGATCTTCCTCAGAAATGGGTCAAAAAATAAATTCATATAAAAACCAGTTTTATCTATAAGAAACAAGTTCTCGACTTTTAATATTTTATTATAACGATTAAATGAATATGTCTATACAGATAAAACTGGTTTTTGTATGAATTTATTTTCTGACCCATTCCTGAGGAAGATTCTAGCTGAATTTTTCGAGGAAAATAAAAGACGTTGAATGCTTTTGAAACATACATAGATCGACTCAGTTTTTTTATGTTGAACACGAATCTGACGTTAGGCTTTTTATTTTATCTTTTCGAGTAGTTTAGCAAACTTCTGAATGTAAAAAATCAATGCTTAAACAAGCAGCTGTCGATTATTGGACAATGTTAGGCTGCCTTCGTTTTTTTCGATTTTATGAGCTGGTTTAATCAATTTTCTTCAACTTTTATTCTCAAAAGAAGGAAATATTTCAATTACACAACTTTATTTTTGGATTCGTTCCATTTTCAAATTCTTCTTTCGAGACTATTAGCCTGACAAAAATTCGTCAGACAAACATCTCGAAGCTGAGATTTTACCTGTCTCAATAACAAAAATTCGAATTTATTTTATCAGAGAATCACACGAAAAGATGATTCAATGTTTATGCCATTACTTTTGCATCGTATGCTCTATCTGAGCTTATCTAAACATATCCAATAGGAAATGATCTTCATCAGATCGTGACTAAGTCGAATAGTTTAGTTGTGCTCGAAGATCGTAATTTGAAATTTGGCTGATAGAAGACCGCAAGTTTTTCTAAAAAAAAAAGTGTTTGATTTTTCTGCTGATGAGAAGCAATTCTTGCGAATTTTTTCGATGAACTTTCATTGTCAATCGAAACGACAACATAAATTTGACGTTCATTGTATCGAATTTTCCGGTTTTCGCGTGTCTTACATCCAGTGATTTGAATTTTATTTCAATTCTGAATGTACGCTGTAGAAAAATGAGCAAAAAAGAATTGCGAAAATATATTGAAACGAAAATCATTTGTTTTTTTATGCCCAAAAATTAGAGTAACACGGACGACATTGATTGCAAATGTGTGCATTCATCAAATTAAAGTTTGATTTGATCTATTGTGGAAAGAAAAGCTTTCAGTAATGTTTCTTTTTCTTTTTCTTTTTTCTTCGATGGTAAACCAACTTCGCTCTATTTTTTTATCGTTTCACTTTTTTCTTTCTTCTACAAGCTCAAGTATGTCCATGTCTTGCTGTGACAGAAATAGTTGTTAACATAGGAATCTTCTTCTTTCTTCAGATATCGAGTGAATGAAAGCGGAATATATGCTAGTAAAAAATATCATGAGAGTAATGTGAGAAGCATTGCCATTGCTTTTTGTCTAGTTGTGAATGAGAACTGTTTACATACTCCACTTTCAACTAACAATGTGCAATTACCAATAGAAGACAACTAGCTCCAATGGCAGCAGCAGAACACCACAATCATGAAACGTTCTCACTCGTCTGACTGGATTCTGATGTCAACAACTCAGAAGAAAATATCGATATTCAACAAAAACTTCGAACATGAATCGCTCATCTCAAAACATTTGACGATGTTGATAAATGCGAGCAATTTATTCAATCTAAACCTATCAATAATAGAACAATTGTGGTTGTAAATAAACAATTGGCTACCGAAGTAGGGCCACGCACGCACTAATTATTGCAAGTTTTTTCAATCTATGTCTGTGGTATGGACAAAGAGAAAAACAAAGAATGGACGAAAATCTATTCCAAGGTAAAGAAACTCTCATGTTTCAGTTAAGTGAAGAGATTTGAGTTCAGATAGGAAATATCGTTCGTACTTTAAGACGAACTCAACTGTTAACTCTTAAGTTCAAATCAAATTCGTCAATATAGTTGTGGAAATGAATTAACTTTTTTAACGGTCTCTTTTGCCATAAATGAAATTTTAAGTAATGTCGATGGAGTCGGAGAGCGTTGAAACCGAATCTTAAAAAAACTCTATATCGATTCGAATCATTAGCTAAAGAAAAAAAACATTGAAACGTTCATGTAATAACTTGATTTTTTTCTTAAAACTATTGTCTAGACAGTATCATTTTAATCCTTATGGCCTTTTTGTTGTCAATATTCTTTCAAAAGTATAGAACGGAAATATATATTGATACAAAGAATATTAAGACAAACGTTCATTGATGAATTGGGATAACGAGGAAAAGAAGACATTAAGTCAATTATGTACTTGATTAGTTTATTGAACAAAAGTAAAGCATTATATTTTAATTGTACATATATATATATAGAGAGACTTAACAAATATACAAGAAAAAAATCAGTGTTTATTCAGTTTCAAATATAAATGTAAATTGTTGTTCATCATTTGAATTTAATTGAAATGTTCCAATAATAGATGAACCATCAAGTTGAAGTAAATTATTTGTTGTATTTTCTTTTAATCTTAAATAAGTTTGTGAAGTAAATCTTAATCGATATTCAATATTTATAGAACGTTGTTTATTATTAATTAAACTTAAATTAATTGTATATGTTGATAAAACAAAACGATTGCCATTTGGTTGATTAACTTTTCGACGTGAATTTAATTTTACATATTCAATATATCGTAAATCTGGATCTTGACCAAGATTAAATTCATTTGTTTCATTAGAAGCAAGATCAGGCCAATAAGTTTCACCAACTAATCGATCTGATTCACGTATAAATACTTGACCTCGTGGCAAAAATTTTTCTTCTACACGAAGACGATATGCACGTTGAGCATTACCACGATTATCCATCGAAGAAAAATATTTCTCTATTGAACCATATCGTTCAATATCAATTATTGGACGAAACATTGGAAGAATGTAATTCGATCGAGGATCAAGAGTAAATGTTTCATTTATTGAAAATATGTATACCCCAATTAATTCTTCGGCATCAGAAATAGTTGGAGAACTATCACCGTTACCATTATTTTGTACTATTACCACTTCTGATTGAACAAATCCATTGTCAACATTGGCAAGAGAAGCCGTTTCTTCACCACTATCACCATTGTTTGATGATGATGATTGAATATTAACATCTCCACTAATTAATTCTGCAGAATTAATCATTAATGATGAACTTCCATCATTTTGAATAACAGCATATGCTTGTAAAATAGAATCAGTATTATTACTTTCTAATAGAAGATCATAACGTACTTTCCATTTAATATTATTTTGTAAATAACGTATATAAAGTTGTTCATTAGTACATGTTTCTAATACAAAATCAACTAAATATTTACCGACAGGTGGAATAGATAAATATCGTATACGATCATTAGTTAGTGTATAAAATGTATTATCAATTAAATCATGTATTAAATTTCGTGTTTCATCAATCATTATTCCTTCTGTATACGTATCATTATCAACATTACGCTTAATCATAAGTTTTTGACTATTTAATGATGTACGATTAAATGAAATTATTTGTGCACGTACGTTAACACATTTATTAACAAGTCGAATTGAATCTGATCGAATATTATACCATTCTTGTTGAGAAAATATTATAGGTAAATCATAGGGTGATATTGATTGAGATATTTCAGCAATATTATTATATATTTGAATATGAATACCATTAATCATAGTATTTATTAATTGGATAATAATTATTTCAATAATGATAATTAATCGAAAGAGAAATATTTTATTCATCTTTTTTTCTTAGATTAATAATAATTTGTTTAATGTAGATTTTTCATGTCTTTATATTCTTGTTATATGGATGTACAATGTAAAAAAAAACACGAGATACTTTTCATGATTCTATGCATATATTCGTTAAGCCCTGGTAGATAGACGAAAACGTAAATGAATGTCACATACAGATATAAGCTCAAGGATTTATTAGATTGATGAATAATTCATAGATTTTTAAACGCATTATTTGATCTTGATCGTCATTAATAAGCATGAAAAAATTTCGTTTTTTTTTTTTATTGATAATGAGCTTATATATTTATATAAATATATGTCATGGTCAATATAAGTGATTTAGTAGACTTAGCTGTCTTGACAGAAATTCATCAAGATAATGACAAAAAAATTAAGTATAAAAATTTAAACACTAATTACAATATAAATCATACAGAGATTAATAACAGTAAAAGTATTTAAATTAATTGATTCGTTATGTTAATATAAAGAAATCGATATTTTTCTCAATTGAGGATAAGTTCAAAACAAACATATTGATTATAGTTTTAATTGTTTGTAACTGTATTTTCTGGATTCGATTGTGTACCAGAAAGATCTATTGATGATACTTGTTGAATATTGACTTTTCTTATGCGACGTTTAATTATAAAATGATAAATAGCAAGAACACTGACTATGCAGATAATTATAACTATAATCAATGTCAACAAAATTCTCTTCGATATTCGTCTGGTATCATTGTCTACTGAAGGAGTTCTGTTTGTGTTCTAAAAATATAAAATATAGAGGAGAAAAAAAAAACTCAAAAAAAAAAAGACATGTTAGTGCAACCTCTTTGAAGCTGAAATGTGGAACTCTCATGTATACTTTAATGTCAATCTACTAATACAAAATATTGAAAACCAAAAATGTCTCGCAGCCTATTGTTGTTTTTGAAAGATAATTAATCGCCAAAGAAACGATCCATCTTATTTATTTCTGCATTTTGAACAGAAATTTTTTCTTCGATTTTTTACTAACCCTCTAGTTTTTGTTAATCTTGTTACTTTTCATTTTCATTTTCATATTCCATTTCTCTTAATTTAACATTATTATTATGCTAGCTATTGATTTAACTAGCAAATAAGCCTATTATATATTCATTACACCTACAACAGATCTCAATACATTATTCTATATTTTCGATACGCTCAGAAAACTGATATTGATTATTTCCTAAAGATCTTTGACATCTTAAATATAAATTTTTATTTGGACAAAAATAAAAAACAAAACTGCACTATTTAGAGCGTTCGCGAACGGATTTCAGCCATTCGAATTTCGAGGAAGGCTTTGAAATGTTCTAGAATTCTCAGGAAAAAGAGTCTGATGCCTGTTATCCTCGGTGGCTAAGATCTGTAGTGAAGAGGAAGAAATCACAAAGTTTTGACTTAAAATTTACACTCGCTGTTTTCTTCGAAAATATATGTGAGTCCCACAAAAACAATAAATGATAATTACAGTTTCATTAGATGTTTTGTTATTTTTTGATCGTTGATGTAACATTATATCTGCAAACACTGGTCGATGATCGCTGAGTTTAATATTACTCATTGCTGAATATTGAAGAATTTCAAGATTATTCGAAAGTGTTGAAATAAGAATACGATCAGTATAGCTTGGACGACGAACTCTACATATGATCATATTTATGAGCGATTCAATATAAATTCTCTTTTGTTTTTGTTTTTTACTCTTTATCCTTTTCTGTTTGATATTCATCACTATTCAGTATATATTTATATGTTGGTGGAAATGTAATAGGAGCTTCGAAAAAATTACTCAAACATTGTGCAGTAGATCCTGTATTATCATATTGACGCATTTGTATTAACTATAAGAAAAAAAATGAATTTTATTCATTTATAGGCAAGATAATTGTATTTAACTTCATCATTATTAAGTATTGTTTTGTACTCTTGTTTCTTGATTGCTTTGAGAATATTATCAACACTCAAAGTATTTAATGTACGCCAATTTTGATCGCCAAAAACAAACATATAATCATTTTTGATATTATTTGCTTGATATATTTGAAGAAATTTCGACCATAATTTACATCGTTCTTCTTTTTTTCCTTCTCCTGCTGGTAGATGCATATTAGCAAAGATTACATTTGTTAATTTATCTATTTGAATACAACTAGCTATAACACCTTTATAACCTATAAATTTTTTATATAAGCAACTCTACATATATATAAATGTATAAACAATAAACTAGCAAAAAAGAAATCTATTTACCAATGATATTTTCTAAAATTTTATCCTAAATATGCTGACGTCTTTTGTCATTTCTTTATATCAAAAGATTAGGAAAAAGAACATACCTGATATACTTTTAAAGTTAGTGTATTCATGCATTTTAAAAGTTTCACACGTTGAGATTTTACTATCATATTTGAAGCATATATATATAGCCATATTGGTTTTACAATATTCGATCCGACATAATCAGAAATAATTTCTATATAATTTTCATTTTCAAGACAATTTTTCAATGTTTTATGGAATGTGTTCGATCCGATTATTTTTTTACTTGCTTCTTGAAAACTATAGACAATGACTTTCTTTTTTTTTTTGTTTTACTATATTTTCAAAAGCTAATTATGTCCATACCCAAACACGATAAGATCAGCTTTAATACCATCAGAGACTGATGCAAATGCAAGCTGTTGGAATGTATTACAATCAGGTTCACTATTTCCAACATTCCAAGTAACGATACGAAATCTATTGAATGTATGAATCGATTATGTAAAGTTATATTTTTTTTTTGTCAATAAGGTACCGAAACGGAACAGTCTGTAAACAAACAAGTTGAGAATGAAATAGAACTGGAATGATAATGATGAGAATTGAAAGGGTGTGTTTCATGAAACATAAACAGTAAACGAAAGAAAAAAATTCTAGGCGCTTTCTTAAGTTCATATTAGATAAATAATATTTCATTGCTATTTTCGATTGTTTTTCATATGATTAAATCATTTTTTTAATTATATTCAAATCAAATAGTTAATGAAAAATTACTGGTATTGTTTTTAAAAAAAAACTTTGCCAGAGAGAATTGTTTGAATGATCAAATATCATAAATAAAAATTATAAACACATTGTTTAGAAAGATTTCATCATTTGATCAGAGACATTTGTGTATTCTTTCAAAGTTTGATAATTTGTTGTATTCGAATCAATTTCATCTTGAATCAGTAAATTTCTTATGCTATTCTGAAAAAACATAATACCTCTTTCCACCTCTCCACAGACTAGAAGGATAATTTAAAAGTTATAATTTTCGGACATAATAGAAACCCATTGTGCCCAACCTGTGCGCAAAACAAAACAATTAGCTCATTATTTCTCACTAGTGCTTAATTTCTTTTGTGTTGTATGTTTTCTAGTAACGGACAAATCAATTTCTTTCATGTCCTGAACAGTACCCATACATACTTACCACGGACAGATGAACACTAATCGGTTCAAATTACGTGAATGTTTGTTGGATTCAATAATAAAAACTAGTGTGAGATAATACAATATCGATTTTTATAATACTCATAAAATTTGAACTATCCATCTCTTAGAAATAAGAGACTTATTTCGTAATCAGATGCTTATTTTATATTTCTGTTAAAATATGTCTCTTTTCACTTCTGACTTGTGTACAAGCTTTTATCATGAACTCGTTCAGCAAAATTGGATCGATACATATCTAATAAGAGTTTCTTTCTAGCTTCTCCAAAGCCTGGCCATTTCTTAGCTAAAATATTGTACGTTGAAGACTTCAAGACTTGCAAGATAAACAAAGCATAGCTATAATACAAAACAAGTTGGTCGCAATAGAAAGCACACCTTCAAACTTTTGACTTGTAAAACAAATTAGAAGCTCAATGAGCTTCCACTCTGTGGTGGGAGGGGGAGGAGTTAATATATGTAAGATGCAAATCATCTTATATGACTCTCTTTTTTTCTTATCTGCTTATTTATTTTTTATTATTATGAAAAATATGCTACGTAATTAAGTATTATCACGGTGATAAAAATGCGTCATAGTCTTACAACATTTTTAAAAAAGATAGTGTAATAACTGATAAGTTCAACAAACACACACATTAGCTCCCTTATAAAAGATATATGAGTGTAGCTACAGAAGATAATTTTGTACGAGAAGATTTTTATAACTAATGGCTTGTTCGATATTTTATTTATTTCTTGTATTAGTCAGTTGTTTATCAATTCAAATAAGTCAGAGTGCAACATCCTGTAGTCGTGGTTATTATTTGGATAGTGGCAATTGTTATCCTTGTGAACCAGGTACATATTGTCCCGATGGATATCGACAATTACCATGTAATCCAGGTGAATATCAAGATTCATTCACATCATCATCCTGTTCAAGTTGTCGAAATGGATACTTTACGACGAAATCAGGTTCAATTATGTGTAATGTATGTCCAATAGGATCTATGTGTCCAAATAGTGATAGAGATCCTATCAGTTGTCCAGCAGGAACTTATCAAGATAGTTATGGTGCGGTAAACTGTAGAGATTGTTCACAAGGTATGAAAAGAAAATTTATTTGATTCATTATTTTTGTATTTGGCTTTTCTTAATAATGGATATTATTAGGTTATTTCTCAACAACATCAAATTCACATCAATGCCAAATCTGCCCAAAGGTAAAATGAAAAGTTTCTTTTTTTTTAAATAGAACATTGTAAAGACGTTTTGTTCATGTTTGCATAGGGTCATGAATGTCCTCGTCCGGATCAATCTCCATTAGCCTGTCGACCAGGTTAGTTAGACTATAATCCCATTTGATGAAAGTTCACAAATTCGTATAAAGAAATTTGAATTATTCTAATAGATATATAAAGCAAACCCCAAATTATATGATGAGATATCTAGCTGTTAGATGATACGCAATTTATGAGCAATTCTTAGTATTGATATTGATTTTTGAGTAGTATTTAACTTTGACATAATGTGAATCGATCATCTGATATCACTGGAAAATATCTCATTCTATAGGCAATAATTTATTTTCTATTTCTGAATTGTAAATGATTCACTGAAGTAAAGAGAGTTCTAGTAGAATGATCTAAATGTCTATTAAGGTACATATTCATATAATTATGGTGCTTATTCATGTTCTCAATGTTCAACTGGATGGTACACCACTAAGAGTGGCGCCGTATTATGTGATATTTGTCCTGAAGTAAGTGCAATAAACATTGATTTGAAATTGAAGAAAATAGATGGATTACGATCTTTTTTGATTTAAAATAGGGAAATGAATGTCCACGAACTGATCAACCACCCTCTATGTGTCGACCAGGTACATATTCTCCATATCCAGGATCAACATGTAATTCATGCCCATCGAATACCTATGCAACTAGTTATGGGCAAGTGTCTTGTAACCCATGCCCTCAGGGCTATGAGTGTACACAAAATGATCAAGAACCACGAGCTTGTGCCCGTGGATTTTATCGAGATGGATCAATGAATTCTTGTCAACGATGTTCATCTGGTATGTGGACTAAAAATACGACATCCGTTCGCTGTGAAACTTGTCCCGTGGGTTTTGAATGTCCTACTGCTGATAGTTCGCCAGAGCCTTGTCGTATTGGTACCTATTCATCAAGTATTAATACCGTTGCATGTACACAATGCGATTCAGGATTTTATACGCTGGAGATAGGATCCATTCAATGCGAAATATGTCCAAGAGGTTACTATTGTCCACAACCTGATACAGCACCATTAGCTTGTTCCAATGGAAATTATAGTGACTACAAACAAACTCAATGCAGTCAATGTTCTTCTGGTTACTACTCTTTAACGCCAAAAGCTGCTGATTGTATTATATGTCCTCGAGGATTTGCATGTGCAGATCCGAGTTCATCACCTCAAGCTTGTTCTAAAGGTACTAGTGCAAACTACGGAGCAACTTCTTGTGCAACATGCTCTCAAGGATACTACTCGGTTCATAATACTTCAGCTATTTGTACCCCGTGTGCACCTGGATACTTTTGTGATGATTCAACACAATGTCCACAGCAATGTCCAGCAGGTAGTTATTCATCAGCAGCTCAAACAACATGCTATCAATGTTCATCTTCATGTTCATCAACTCCTGGTGTTTTTGATTGTTCGGCATGTATAACAGCGAAACCAACCGGATGCCAACAATTAGAAATTTCAGTTGACATACATAAACATTAAATTTTGTCAAAAAGATTATGTTAAAGTTTTATTTATTTATTTGTTTATTTATTCTTTTTGATACATTCGATTTCGAGAATTGGTAACGAATATTTCATTTTATCTAAATTAATACAATGCTTTTCGATGATAAATAAATGAAGAGGAGAATGTTTATCTACTTCATTCATTGATCAGTTGTGGAAAAAGAAAAACTTTTTTCCTTCACTTTAGATACTACAGAAGAATAAAAAAAGGGATGAAATCCGATAGCTAAAATATTCATACAAAGATTTTGATTCAATCAAACTCAGCATCTATGTTCTTTTTCGTTCAATAAATATCACCTTTCAAGATATTTTAATTACACATTGGATCCTTTCTTTTTTACTAATATATAAAATAAAACACAGGGTGGAAAATCAAAGATGATTAATAATTATAAAGCTCTGCTAATCTTTTCTTTGTTACGAAACATCGGCCAAGAAAAAACAATTATTTAGTTTTGAAAAGAAAAAAAAACATTTCTTCTACAAAAAAAATTTCATATAATGCCGTCATTATTCTATAAAGATTATGAGAAACTATATCAGCTGACATACCAAGATACGAATCATTACTATTTATGTACTTTGCAGCTGTAGAAATGAATCAGATTCTTCGTACACAAAACTATTATGTGTAAGATGGTGCTAATATCTATTTTTCTCATTATCATCATATATCTACATCCAATTTCTGCCGTTAAGTGTCCATCATGTATTGATATTTGTATTAATACAACCAGCACTTCTCTTTCTATTAATGAATCTTATTGCGACCTAATAATTGAATCAGCTGCCGTATGCAAAAGTGAATTATATGTTGAATTGATTGATACATATCCAGCTGTTATTAACTATATAACTGCACCATCAAATGCTCTCATTACTGGCAATGCTGATAGTGTATTAGTTACAACTATAAACATACCATTAGATATTGGAAATCCTTATGGATCATTTATCTATGATTGTTACGATGAAGATCTATGTAATAATAAAATAGTACAGAAACAATATGAAGAATTACATGTAGTGAATTATACTGAATTGACAATTAAATTGACTGAACTTCTTTATAATAATCAAAGCATTTCAAAACGACAACCAATTGAATGTTACAATCGAAATAATCAGATAGAACAGTGTTCTATCAATAGAAATTGTCAAGCAACATTAATTATTGAACAAGAACGATCCGATTTACTTATTACAACTTCTATTTCTGATCGACGGCCAGGTTCTTTAGTTGGTCTTCGTTTGCGTTCAAAATCTGTCGGTAATGATTATAAAAAAATAACTATAAGTTATACTTGTAATAAAAATAGATGCAATGATCCAGTTATAGTTCGTCAAATTCGTCAAATTTTCTTTGACATTGGTTTTATTAATTCAAAAGCTAATAGTTTGAAGTTTCTATCAATCATTCTCTTCATTACTTGTCTTATTATAAATATTTGTACTCGTTTCATGTCATATTAATAATATTTTATTTGATTGTAATATATTCTGTTTTTTTTTGTTGGTTTTGAATTTTATTCAATGACTGATGAATATGAAAAAAAAACGATCTTTTTTTTTCTCACTTTAAGGTTATTCATATCTCTGATAGAATTTTTCATATTCAACAATGAAATATAATCATCAATAATCAAGAAAAGAGTTATGTATAACAAAATAGAAAAATGTGTTTCGTTTATTAACATTTCTCGATGAAATTTATTTCATGAAAAACTATCACAACTGCATTACTCTTATAAAGCTGTCTTTTAGTTGCACAATTCATGTATACAAAGCTCAATTTCTATTTTGTATAATTTAAGTACTTGTTTACCTGTCGTTCGATAATATGTTGCTCCTGGCAGATCAAGACTTGTAAGATTTAGTTTAATGCATACCATATACTATCGTTCTTTAATAACACATGCTCTCTTTTGAAGTTGGTCACTATTATTGTTTTAAGTAAACGCAAACGCATCTATAGTAAAAAAAAACTGCAGATCTACATGTCTATGTTAGAAAGTATTTAAAAAGTTTCTCCGCAAGATTGAAATATGAAACATGATGAAGTTGCTGGCAGTATAGCAAAAGGGATTAATCAATATATGTTTCGATTTATGAATTCCTACCTACTGTTAATGCAAGATATTAATCGCAATATATTTTAGTGAATATGAAAGAAAAGTAAAGAACAACTATCATAATAATCTGATAATGGATTTTGATCTCGTGGTTATGTCTGTCACATCTGTGGAGAAGTTCAAATTTCTACCCCTATATTTCAATATTTCTTTAAGATTGTGTTTCACAAAGCTAATTGTTTTTTTTTGACAACTTCCTTCTTTTCTTTCATCAAAAAATTGACATATCAAATTTTTCTTGTTTTCTTCTTCTTTTCTGATGAAGGTATTCATCGAGTATTCGTGGATTTTGGATACCTATGCTAAAATCTGAGTATGACAATGGATTACTCGCCGTGTAATACTGAATGTTGCTTGAGTACTCTTATACAATTTTTTTGTGTACTCAAATGGTTTATGTAAAATATTCATAAGCTCATAATGAAAGTTTCAGAAAACAATGAATACGAGAACTACACCTATCATTTTACCTTTTACATTCTTCTTAAAAACCAATACAGCTAGAGAAATTTTCCTCTACAGAGAAGAAAGTGAAATATTTCTTTATTTTTATATAATAAAAATAATATTTTGTTTATTTGTTTAAAAGATCACAGTGAAGACTAAAATTTTAATAAACAAGGAAATTTATTTTTAAGAAAATATGCAACAGGTAAGGAATTGTACAACTGCATAATTACTAATTTTTTATCATGAATAATCATTTCTGCCCTAATTTTAAAGCTTTATTGTTTTCATCGATCTTTTAAAAAGGAAATAAAATCTTATTTTTATGATATCAACATAAAGAAATATCTACCTTTCGTCAATTAACAATGAAGATTTGTTTGTCTCTATCTCATAAAGTAAAAGCACACTAGAATACAGGTTGAGTACAGTAAAATATAGGGCAAGAAAAATGAAAACAAATTATTCTGTGAAGCAGCAAAGTCTGATTACAGACCAACATGCAATGTTGATTACTACCAGATATATTCATGGGGACATTGGCGCTGCTACGATGGCATCAGCAGCATGATAGGTTTAGATTGTAGTTGCATTGCAGCAGCAGCAGATTTACAGCTGCGACGGATATCTATGATTACTATACAAAAATAGATCATATAGACATTTCTAAACCTTTAACTATCTATAATCATTTAGTAGTTTTTATTAAAAAAAACATAAAACATAAAATTATTTGTCTATAGTATTATCCAGATGTCTTCATGAATTCAAATCGCAATCGATTTGTAGCACGAGTTGTTAGTTTCTTTTGTTTCATTGCATTCTACAGTTAATCTGAAAAGCTGTATTTTAATACAGAACTTTTTATCTAAATTTAGAAAATAAAATTTGAACGAATTTCTATTAACACTTCCTGAACATAGATTCAATCTTATCCAACAAGTTAACAGTTTAAAATGAAAAGACATTTTCTTTTTTTTTCTTTAAGTTACCGTTCAACAAAATCTTATAAATGACTCATCAACAAAGAATAGAGAATAAACTAGTAGATAAGTCGTTGAAATAGTTTCTTTCTATTATTTATTATATTTATATCGTTTTTCTTTATTACATAACTTCAATCTATCATGTATGTAGACAAGTGCATAAATGTTTTGCTAAATATTCTGAAAAATAACGAAAATGAGTACTACATTGAGTATTCACATCATTGCCTATGAGTAAATCTATAGAAAAAAACTCGTATGAATACACGAGCAGTATTCATATACATGAAATTGTTCGAACATTCGCACGAGTACTTGGAATACTCATACTGACAAGTTGTGTTCGTATGATGAGTATTTTCACTAGAATTTCTTAATAAAGGATTCTTATATGTAAGAATAATGTATTACGTTCACATCATCTAACTCTGTTGAATCCAAATTAGACTCTATAGTTTTAGTTAATTAGCTTATCCATCCACATTTGTCTCAAATGATAACTCAAGTGTTTAATTTCATTCTAGTCTTCAATTCACTTGTAATAACTTTCTTTAACATGATCATATTATTGACATTATAATCCTAGTAGAATCATTTTATTTTTAAATTCCTTCAGTACAGTATTGCGCATTTACATGAGACATTAGTTTTGTATTACTCCATCATTAGTATGCAGTTGTTTTCAAATAAAGCAAGAACGAAGAGTAGTTTTGCTTATGAATAAACTGTATGTAATCACTTTTTTTATCTTTCCTATTCAGTACAGTTTATGGCTTGATCAGGTAAAAAAAAAAGCAGAATTTGTCTTCCGATACATATTTTTGCATATATATCGATGTCATGTAATTTAAATGACTATTTACGATTGGCGACCAATATATGCGCATATTGACATCAATCAACAAAGTAGCACAATAGCACCCTTCTGTCAGTACGGCACAAATGATCCTTAGTTTTTTTATTATTATCAAGGTTAATACGATTGAATTCTGAATAAAAATATTTGTTGTTAATTATATACTCAATGCAAACAGATTCAATGATTTTATCTGTAACTAAACAAGATCTAACGTTCTGTTACATCTTATTTATGAATGTTTTATAGAAGGTAATTATTTTTTAACGTTCATCTTCTTTTTCCTATATTCTCTTTTCTTTCTTTCATCTTCTTTTTTTTCGTTACTATTTACTTTCTCTTCCTGCCATTCTCGTTGAAAAAACACATCTCGTCATCATCATTACCGTCATCATCATCATCAGCAGCATCTTTGCTTTGTGTAACAAGCTATGCATCAAACGAATGTAAAAGAAAAAAAAAGAAAACAGCCAACTATAGAGCTATTCCTACTTTCTTTTCTCTTTCATCGTGCCATTCTAACTTTTGATGTTACATAAAGCATGTGAATTAGTAGGTCAAAAGTATTAGTGACTTTTGTTATAGTTTAATATTATAGAAAAACAGAAAACAACGTGCATTTATTGAAGTATAGACTTAACTTTGTTTAAAAAAAAAAGAAGAAAACCTGGATTTCTTTTTGACGCTTTCAAGTTTATAGAAGTGGGGTAAGTATTAAAGTATCAGAGCTTAGTTTCTAAGAAAGAAAAGTAAGTGAATATATTCACAGAGAAACGAATTGTTTACTTAGTTTAATATGAAAATGTACGTTGATTTCCTTGTATTCATTTAGAAAATTGCATGAATTATGAATCCGATAACTTTTGTATCCAATGTCAATCCTGAATTACATTTAAAATATAATCTCTATGGATGGGGAAACGTTCGATGTAATGGAATTTTAAGTAAACCTTTATTTTCATATATTGTTTTATGTATTTGTACATTTATTCAAAATTTTTCTGTAAATGGCGCTAATAATGCTGTTATTTCAACTATTGAACGTGTTTTTTATTTAAATAGTGTACAATCAGGTCTTTTCTTAGCTTTATATGATTTAGCAACAGTTTTTTCAGCACCATTGGTTGGTTATTTAGGTAGTTTATATTCATCACCAATATTTTTTTCATTAAATATGATTATTGTTTCTATTGGAAATATATTAATTGCATCAAGTAATTTCATAAATCGAAATAATAAATTAAATTCTAATTTGGATTTTACACAAAATTTCTTAACATTTAATAATGTTCTTTTTCAATGTTATAATGATTCATTACTTAATCGAGAAAATATAACTGATTCAATATGTTTAAAAGATGAATATTCATCAAGTACATCAATAAATGCAAAATTTCTTTTATATTCAGGCAATTTTATTAATGGTATTGGAAGTGTTGCTCTATTAACCATTGGTATTATTTATATTGAACGAATATTTCCACGTGAAAAAGCAGCTTATTGTCAAGGAATTTATTTTGCTGTTGGTACTGTTGGTGGTGCACTTGGTATTGTTGTTACTGGAAGATTTTTATTAGTTTATACTACACTTACACCTAAACAACGTCTACCATCATGGTTAACACCTAGTCATCCACTTTGGATTGGATGTTGGTGGTTACCTTATTTTATTTATGGTTCATTATGTTTTCTTATTGGACTTGTTGTATCTGGTCTACCAAATTATGAAATACCTGGTAAAAAACATTCAATTAATAGAAATGCTATAACAATTCCAACTATATCTGCTCAACAACAATACAATCGTAAATAATGATATTGTAAACAAATAAGATATCTTTTTTTTTCTTTTGATTTAGCTGTTTCAATTAATCGAGAAAATAGTCCAACAGTTAATACAATGACTACAACATGTACACCAACACCTGCAACAGACAGTATGCTATCTGAATCATTTTCTGGTTTGAAAAGTAAAAATCCACCTCAGTTGACATCGTCACCAGCAGAAAATAATACTAGAAATGGTGTCATTAATCATGCATTTTCAACTGATATGCTCTATAATCAATTACCAATTACTAATTCAGCACCATCAACGACAACTACTTCAGCAAGTCCATTTGTTCAACAACAAACAAATAAGGAAAATTTGAGAAATATGTGTTTTGGTATTTTTAAACTTCTGAAAAATATGCGATATGTTTTTATTGTTATTGCTAATTTATTCGAAGGCATTCTATTGAAAGGTACAATCTCGTTTGTTTTTAAATATTATTTATAATATTTAAAAGTATCACAAATTTTTATTTTAGGCTTTGTACCATTTATTACTAAATATTTTGAATATCAACATCAATTGGATACTTCAACAGCTACATTAATAACTGGTGCCATTGCATTACTTTCAGTTATTATCGGTTGTCCAATAGGTGCCTATTTTATGAATAAATTTTCTTGGACACCAATACAATGTGCACGTATCTGTACTATAATATTAATAATTTCATCATTTCTTTTTTTATCTCTTATTTTTTCTTGTCCTGAACTTAAATTTCAATATACATCATGTTCTTCTATGAATACACCATGTTGTCAACATATTTATCATCCAGGTAAAATACGAAATAAAACCACTATATTAACATAAGACTTGGTTTTTTTTCTTCGGATATCTTTTATTTAGTATGTAATATAAATGAACCTCAAAAAATGTATTTATCACCATGTCATTTTGGTTGTATTAATCAAACAATCATAACAAGTAATAATACTATGTTATATTCATTATGTAATTGTGCAGAAGATACAATTCTTAGTGAAACAGTTTGTCGATTTCGACGAATACCTTGTAAGATATTTTATTTTTTATTACTTAAAATAGATAGATTATCTAATTATATTCTCTAATAGGTATGACAATGTTTATTTTAACAATGATTGGTGCAACATTTCTAGTGTTTTTCACAGCATTTATTCAAGTTCCAATGTTACAAGTACTTCTATATAGTGTTTCACTACCTTATCAAAATATGGCACTAGCTATTCGACAAACTATTGTTCGAGTATTAGGACAAACAACTGGTCCATTATTATTTGGTTATGTTTTTGATCAATCATGTTTAGTATGGCTTACAGATTGTTATGATCGACAAACATGTAAAGTATATGATAATCGTCGAATGAGTTTATCAATGGCTTTATCAGGTTTTTCTATTCGATTAATATCTGGTATTGCTTGTTCAATTGTTTATTTCAATTGGAAATTTAAACATTCTAATCAAAATGATATTTCTTCAAATAATCTACATATGACATCCAATGAAGAACATGAAATAACTCGATTTTAATATATTTATTTTGTTATTTTGATAATCTGCATTAAAAATAAATAAATCTTTCTTATAATAATGAATAAAACATCTATTGAAAATTACAAAAACAAAAAAGCCAATCTACTTAAGCATGATAAACATCAGCAATACGTTTTAATTCAATTAATTGTTGTTCAAGTAATGAAATATCTTTATCAATAGATGTTAATGTAGCATTTTTTGATATCCATGTTTGAATAAGATCAGCAACAGAAATAATAACTGATACACCAAGAATTTTTCCACTTATAGTTCCAGCTGTTTTAGCACCAGTTGCAAGAGCATTACCTAATGATGGTAATTGTCCAATTAATTCACTCCATGTTTTTAATGTTGAAGATGCTTGAATAGCTTCAGAAAGTTTTAAAAAATTGACTCCAACTTTTGATACAGTATAACCAAGTGAATAAACTGTTACAAGCCATATTGTTATATCTTTTAAATTTGATTCACATGTTTTCACATCAAGACCTTCACGAGTGCAAAGTTTCAGCTCGAAATTCAAAAAATACAGTTTTACTGGAAAACTGGGATCTTGTAAGGAAAATTCACAAAAAAAAACGAATATCTCGGTCCATGTTCGCTATAGGCGTGCAATATTTTCAATTTGTCAGTTCATCAGTGAGACCTTTAATTTGACCCGAATGTGTCTAATCTTCTTGAATTACAGCCCACACACACCTCCATTGTTAGTAATCAATAAGATTCTTCTCTTTTTCTGTTTCTTATTATGTGCAAAACTAAAAATTTCTTTAAAAGAACGCCTATTGATTTTAAAATGAATTCATCTGAAGAGGATAGCTTTAGTGCAATTCCAAATTCATATGAAAAAGCTTTTTTATCTACAATCTCTAAAGCCCATCAGGTCCAAGAATTTCTTGACTTTGGTAGGGACTTGATGGGCTGTATCAATCGCACTTCATTCTGTAAATAATATTTATTTACTAAGGATTAATTCAAAATCGGAAACTTCTTCGGCGTCATCTGCTACAATAAATAAATGTTATGCATGCATATTCAAAAAACAACAATTAACTAATGGCGCATATTCTAGTTTTGTAAAAGAATGTAAAAATGATAAAACAAATGTGCTATGTTTTATTTTTAATATTGTTTGTCAGTAAATGTTATGATCAGTTCTTTATTGGAAAAAGCTAAGAAACGCACTTCCGAAGAAAAAAAAGCTTGTCAAGAATAATCTTCTGGTTTCAAAAATATCGGTTTGGTAACCCTGTGTAGAAGTGACCAAGACTCGAGGAAAAATTAGCTATATTATCCGATCATTGAGATTGATCTTGCGACAGTAGATGAAATATACCAACTGTTAATCGTTGATCGTAATAATGTCTTGTAGGAGTTAATTAGTAAGGCTAAAAAAAAGGCTTAAAAAGATTCACGTTCATAGACATTCTCTGTGGAGGTATGGATGCTCTGTCGAGTTTTCGGTTTGCGGAATGGTATGCATAGGAAAAAGAAACCGGGTAATGTTTTCATTTGCATCTTTACTAATAAATAGGCTTAGAATATCCTGAAAGTCTTAGCTACAATAAATAGCTCCTTATCGACATTTTGAATATTAAGGTATATTCGCACTTGTGCCTTTTTTAGGCATTTATGAGCATTTATTTTGAATACTCTGTGTATCCGAAAGGAAAGGTTCCCTGTTTTGGTTTGTTCGATGATGCTATTTGAACATTACAAAAGGAAAATTTTATTGTAGCAACAAATAAACCAATTTGTATTGTTACTTTCGGTTAATAGATTTTTGATTAAACAAATTTGATTAATCGATCTTGTATATCCAGATGTAAATAGATTTATATATATATATTTTTTTTCTTTTGTCAGTTTCTTATCATTAAATTAAATAATTAAATACAGTGACTTAGTTTATGTAAAATTATCTGAATAAATTAAAGATCGAAATTATTAAAAGTTAGGTAGTATAATTATAAAACTCGATGAAAATGATAAAACATTTTATGTATCTTCATTGATAGAATGTTTTTTATTTTAAAAAACTGGTTGAATAGTTTTGTGAATAGTATATTTCTTCTTATTGGAATTTATGTCAATATAGATTTTTTAATAAAAATCTTGCGGTTTATTATGGCTATATTCTTATCATTTGAGATGCTTTTGTCATCATGTTGCTACTAAGCAATATTATGTTATTACTATTTGAATCAATTTCATTAGTTCAAAATTCTTTAATATTTCCTACACAGAACACCGAGTATTGTCTTTTATTCTGGTATTTTTCTTTCTCGTCATCATAGATTTAACATATCGAAAGTTAAAAAGTGAATCAAATACGACACTTAACAAAAACCAATACTTTTCGTAGGAGTTTATCTACTAATTAATTTAGCTATATAAATATGAATATTAGAAGATCATAAATAATTTATTGAAAATATTTTCATCAAGTATTATTTTTCAACATCTTCAGAACAGAAATAAACATAATCCAACATTTGACAAGTTTTTTTGAGAAAAAAATTTTAACAATTATTTTTGGATTTGATTTAGAAAAAATAGAAACAAGAAAAAAAAGTTTGTAGAAGAATAGATGAATAATATAACATATCTGCATATATTGATCAAGATATTAATACCAATACCAATAATTATATTTATGTTTAAATAATTTTTTTTCCTAAGCTTTTCAGTTCTTCTTTAATTCGTGCATTTTCTTCCTTAATTTGTGCATTCTCTTCTTGAATAATTTTAAATTGATTTAAAACGTGTGTACTTTGTTGAATTGTAAATAGGAAAAATTCCTTCAATTGATCGGTTGTAGTTATTGCTGAAACATCAAAAGTTGTATTTTCATTATGACCATGATAAGTTGTTGTTTGATGATGAATATCATTAGTTGCTGTTTCATTACGATCATCATTATTTGTAGTTTGATGACAAACTTCAAAAGTTGATACTTGATTACGAGCAGTTGTTGGTATTTCACTAGGTTCATTATAATTTGATATTGTTCCATTATCAGCAGTACTTGTTGATGTTGTTGTACTTTCATTCAACTCATCAGTATCATATTCATCGTTGATCTAAAATTTGGAGAAAAATTAATCACTACTATGAAAGAAATCAGCTTATTGAAGAAAACGAAACGCAGTGTAAATACATGCATAATAGATGGTACTAGTTTTACAGATATTATGGGTAAGTCTAGACGTCAGAGACTAATTCATACATGTTTAGAAGTATGAAAAATAAACTTGATCTTAAGTGAATCTCCGATCTAATTATTTTGAGTTTCATGTGAAACTCAAAAGCGGCCATTGGATAAATAGATAAATATGTAGATGGCTCGGTGAACCATAAATATTTGACCATAGAGTAACGATTGGATCACTTAATCTATCAATGTGATCGTAGCTCAATTGAACTGAATAGAAACTAGGAAATATATGTATGTAAAGAAATATATAAATGAAAGTGATGTTGCTCGAATGTTTCTTATTCGAAAATACAGATTATCAGTTTCTAGAGCACATCTGCGTAAATAAATAGCAATACAGCTGTTCCACTGTACGAAAACACATTTTATTTATATATTTTCACTATATTTTAAGGATTATTTGTAAAAATGAAACTTACGCTTTCGTCATATTCATCATCGGAGAAGATATTGAGCTTATTTGGAAAACACATCTTCCTTATCTGATACAAAAATGATAGCTATGAGAGTGTTTATATAGTTGATTATATGAACAATGAACACTACCGTCTGTTGAGTATAGAATGATTACTTTTTTTTCTTTGTCTATAATTATTCATTCTTCTATATACTGTGATCGTCTCACTCATTAACATATACAAAATGGTCGTCAATGAGGATAAAAACATATGAGTATGACGTCTATTCTCTTAAAGCACAAAAAAATAAACATTTTCTCTAAGTACAAAAATGATTGCTCAGTCTCTTTTGATTTTATACTTTTTTTCGTTTGCTGTTTTTTAAAGCAAAATGATTAGCTTTATGAATCGCAATTAGTTAGAGACAGTACTTACCCTATTGATACTTGGAAGTGCGTCAGTAACTAATGTTGCTGATCTATAGCAAAAATTAAAACATATGAAAGGGAATAGAAAAGATTGTTTGAAAAAATTGCTTAATTTCAGTTGAAGAAATTTTCCATTAAGCTTTAGGAGATATGTAATACTTAGTGAATATCGGTAAAATAAAATAAAATCAGTAGTTAGTTCTGTACTCGGAAAAAATTGGTGCTCAAATAGATACGACAACTTTGTTTAAGAACTATAAGAGAAGTCTCGTCTTCCACAAAAGATAAACGTATTTGGATGTAAGTACTTAGTGCAGCATCACAAATAAGGAGGATCAAATTTTCCGTAAAATCAGATCAGCTCTGTAAAAGTGGGTTGATATTTTATCAGTAGCGTAGCCAGGATTTTTGTACATGCTCAATCTCAACTTCACAGCATGGGATCCAGATGAAACTTATGGAGGGTGATATTGAACTCAAATGATGAGTTTTAATGAAAAATGTTTTGCGATCGGAGCTTGTGAAATTTTTTTTTCTTAGTTCCTTCCCCCGCCTAAAACTTTTTTTTGCCTTTAATGGTGTTCCATTTTTTTTAGAGTTTAATTGTAATCTACATCAAATTTCATCGACAGATTTAAAATTTCATTTAAAAATATGCATCCGTTGAGAAGTTATAATATTTTGAATTTTTTGCAACATGTCGCAAAAATTTTCATAAAAACTCAAAACGTTATAACTTCCCAACGGATGTATTTTTTTAAATGAAATTTAAAATCTGTTGATGAAATTCGATGTAGCTTACAATTAAACTCTGAAAGAAATGGAATACCATTAAAGGCAAAAAAATTTTAAGAGGGAGGGGGGCTGAGACAAAAAAAGATTTTTTTTTTGCAAACTCGGATCGCAAAAAATTTTTCATTAAAGCTCATCATTTGGGTTCAATATCACCCCTCATAAGTCTCATCTGAATCCCATGCTCTGAAGCTGAAATTCAGCATGTACAAAAATTCTAGCTACGCTGCTGTATTTTATGCGTTATGTCATTGAAAGACATGACGAGACAGTTCATCATGACATTATTTAAATTTATGTCTATTTTCTAATTAAAACGCGTGGTAACAGAACGGGAAAAAAAATTTCTCTTAGACTGTCACAAACATAAGTTTTGTTGCATGTGGCTCGTGTTGCTGATTAATACGCTATATGGATGTTCTTTTTACAACCTTTTATCATCGATGAAGTATTATTTGCATATTAACTTACTCGTTTGTTTCAACTTCCATTTCTTCTACTTTAGCAGCCAGAGATTTTTTGCACCGTTTTGAAATAGTGGCGGAGCCAGGATTTTGAGCTGGGGGGGGCTCAACCCCCTCTGAGGGACCTTTGAGCCCTGGTTAGCAAATAAAATACATGGTTTAAAAATTTTCCTGGGAGGGGCTCAAAAATTTCTGGGGGGGGGGGCTCAGCCCCCCTTCAGCCCCACCCTGGCTCCGCCACTATTTTGAAACGGTTGGTATAGGATAATGATTTGTTTTTGTAATGTTTTTGGATTTAACACGCATCTAAAATTTAATGATAAACTTAATACTTAATACAAGGTAATGAAAAGTTGCTTCATACAGAATAGAAAATTTGTATTCTGAAAATTTACAAATCAAGTTAACGTTTAGAATTGTGTCGTTTGACTATTTTTCATTCTTTTTCTTTCATTTCTTCAGACGTCTATCACTGTAAACTGTTATATATATGATGTTATATAGGATAGATGACATCATTGCACAGGAATAGTAATCGCTTAGTCCAGTCAGATATTTTATATCTATACCTAGACACAAATGCACTTAGTTCTATTCATTGAACAAAAAATTTATTTTCCATATGAAAAAACTTCTACTTTTAGAAAAGAATAGTTCACTGTGAACTTGAACTTTTTGTTCAACGAAAGTTAGATAAAAATGTTCTATGTACCAAATATATATAAATAATACTCAAGTTCAGATCTTATTGCTTTGTCATTAACTATTTAATACATTTTGGGAACAATTTAATAAAGGTTCTCAAAATATTTCTATATTATGTAACAAGCAGAAAAGTATTCTAATTATATTCGTAACAACTCAATTCACGTTATTGAAAGAAGAATTTTTTTTCTTTATTTGATATTTATGATTTAGCTAGAAATGAACCATCGACTGATACAGTAAAGCAATTACCTGAAACATGAAATATAATTGAATACATCATTAATGACATTTAATGATTGCATACTAGTTTCAAATGAAAATGAAACAGCAAATTAAGAATTCATTAAATTTATAATTCAATTGTAAAACACAAACAACTGAAATGATGAATTGATTATTTTAAAAAACAAATATTATTATCTTGTCGAAATAGTATGTTAAAAAGTATATTTCGACCATTTTTTATAGGTTGTGAAACGAACAATTATTTATTCTAATGTTTTCCATGTGTCACATTTATATCACAAACAAATGACTTATTAAAGTGTAATTCTCTTCCACAAATAGTATGCTTATTTAAATTATTAAACAGAAAAAAAAAAATTTTGTCTTATTAAACGATTATTATACCAGTAGATCCACTCCAGAAAATAATTTAGTAGAATCCAGGATCAAAGATCCGAACTGATTAAGACAAGGAGCACGTAGTGTTACTGTAGGAGAAAAGCATCATCAAACAATTGATAGTGATGATGTAGAATAAAAATTAGGCAAAGATTTCATAGCAGAAATCTTAAAGCTTATTTGCTACAAACAATGTCATGCCTTATTTACTATTTGGCTTCTCCCAATATTATAAGTAATCTAGACTTCATCTTAATTATTGGATTAATAAAACAAAACTTTGTCAATATTTTATGATTATAGGTGACATGTTCTTTTATTAAACTTGAAAAAAAGATAACAAAACAATTTCCTTTTACAAAATCGTTCATGTTTCAGCGAATAATTGACCGAGAGACTTTTTTTCTCCTACGTCTTTCTAAAGTAATAAAACAAAAGTGTTGAAAATTAAACGAAACTAGCTTTGTTACCTATAATTATTTGAATTTCATTAAACTAATCACAAATCAAATGAGATCTAGAAGAGAATTTAAAATATATCTAAATAGATAAATATAAAATCGTAGTTTCTTTGGTTGACAATGTGAATATATATCAGATTTTAAATAGCATCCAATTAAACTCATTGGAATAATAATAACTAAAGTAATTATTGATTGAATAGCTTTTGAACTTACTTTAAAAAAGGAAAATTTTAAATCTTTATTTTATTAAAAACTAAATTCTTCTAATAATCCCAAAGAAAATTTAACCTGTTTTATAGCAACTTACGTTTATTACATTTTCGATCACAATATAAAAATAACATCGATATCAATATATCAAACAAAAAATTCATATATACACCAGCACGACCACATACATGTTTTACAGAAAAATGATTGTGAACTAAAAAAGAATTATAATGGAATACTTTCTATAGATCTCGGGATAATAAAAGTATATCAATAAAAGAATTTTCATGGCTCTGAAGATTTGAGCACTTGAGCAACTCTCATTCGAAACATAATTCCTTATCACTTTCGATGACGGAGATTTTTTTTAATTTTCATTTTATTCAATTTTAGTGCATTTCAAAGTCTTCGGCGAACTTTTCTAGAAAATCCATGGCTCTTTTGACATTCAAACTCGAATACAAGATTCCTTTCCCTCATCTGAAAGAGAATGCATTTATCTATTAAAAAAACAATGTAATTCATTAGAACCAACAATATCAGAAAACAAAAATTTGTTCGGAATTCAATAATTATTGCAAAAATCAATTTCAACAAAAACAGGCGCATATTTTGTCTATTTATCTAAAGAAATTTCGGACACAATTATGTTACATGTCAATTAAACGCCCATCGCGAATGATATTGAATGACTTCAAAACTACACGTTAAACTATGCCTTTCTGTTAAGGCAGCACGAGCGATTCTTGCTTTTTTATGATTATCAAGATTAATGCGATTGAATTCTGAATAAAAATATTTGTTGTTAATTATATATTCAATGCAAACAGATTCGATGATTTTATCTGTAACTAAACAAGATCTAGCGTTTTGTTACATCTTCTTTATGAATGTTTTATAGAAGGTAACTATTTTTTAACATTCATCTCCTTTTTCCTATATTCTTTTCTTTCTTTCATCTTCTTTTTTTTTCGTTACTATTTACTTTCTCTTCCTGCCATTCTTGTTGAAAATGTACGTCTCATCATCATCATCTTTGCTTTGTTGGGCAAGGTGTGTATCACAAGAATGCAAGAAAAAAAAAGAAAAGAGCCAACTATAGAGCTATTCCTACTTTGGTTTCTCTTTCATCAGATCATTTCTTATGTAACTTACATCTTTTTTATTATAGAAAACTCACATTATAGTTTTTATTCTAACTTTAGTTTTTGAGAAGAATAAGTAAGCGAGTGTATTCAGAGAGAATGGAATGTTTAGTTAGTTTAATTTGAAGATGTACGTTGATTTTCTTTTATTAATTTAGAAAATTCCATGAATTATGAATCTGATAACTTTTGTATTCAATATCAATCCTGAATTACATTTAAAATATAATCTCTATGGATAGGGATATGTTCGATGTAATGAAATTTTAAGTAAACCTTTATTTTCATATATTGTTTTATGTATTTGTACATTTATTCAAAATTTTTCTGTAAATGGCGCTAATAATGCTGTTATTTCAACTATTGAACGTGTTTTTTATTTAAATAGTGTACAATCAGGTCTTTTCTTAGCTTTATATGATTTAGCAACAGTTTTTTCAGCACCATTAGTTGGTTATTTAGGTAGTTTATATTCATCACCAATATTTTTTTCATTAAATATGATTATTGTTTCTATTGGAAATATATTAATTGCATCAAGTAATTTCATAAATCGAAATAATAAATTAAATTTTAATTTGGATTTTACACAAAATTTCTTAACATTTAATAATGTTCTTTTTCAATGTTATAATGATTCATTACTTAATCGAGAAAATATAACTGATTCAATATGTTTAAAAGATGAATATTCATCAAGTACATCAATAAATGCAAAATTTCTTTTATATTCAGGCAATTTTATTAATGGTATTGGAAGTGTTGCTCTATTAACCATTGGTATTATTTATATTGAACGAATATTTCCACGTGAAAAAGCAGCTTATTGTCAAGGAATTTATTTTGCTGTTGGTACTGTTGGTGGTGCACTTGGTATTGTTGTTACTGGAAGATTTTTATTAGTTTATACTACACTTGCACCTAAACAACGTCTACCATCATGGTTAACACCTAGTCATCCACTTTGGATTGGATGTTGGTGGTTACCTTATTTTATTTATGGTTCATTATGTTTTCTTATTGGACTTTTTGTATCTGGTCTACCAAATTATGAAATACCTGGTAAAAAACATTCAATTAATAGAAATGCTATAATAATTTCAACTATATCTGTTCAACAACAATACAATCGTGAATAATGATATTGTATACAGGGTGCGTAAAAATATTTTTGCAGGACTTATGGTATGATTTCAAATAGCATCCATAACAAATTTTATACCAAATTAAAGCGAGTCGAAAATGGGATTTATCGATATTAAATAGTGAAGGTTATGACAACTTTACAGTGTCAAATTCAGAAAATTCCTGGAATTTCACACCACATTGACAAAGCAAAATTACTTTCATGAGACAGTGTAAACTAGATCGCATTCAAAATGAGGAATATCACAAAGTACTATTTATCTCTTAAGATTTGACGAATATGAGTAATAATCAGTATGACCACCATTAGCTTTTTTTACAGCACAAAGATGAGATGGATACGAACATGAAATAGTTTCAAATAACTCCATGTTTGTTTCCATGTTTGTCAAAACGTCTCAAATATGTTTTTCAGTGTTTCTTCATCATAACAATTGTGTTCCGTCTCCGATAGCATTTTCTTTCACTTTCATCTTTGATTATGCTTCCAATATTTCCAGACCGGGTGTCGAGTACTTTGTGTTATTCATCGTTTTAAATGAGATCTTGTTTGAACTGCATCATGAAAGTAATTTTGTCATATCAATGTGGTGTAAAATCCCAGGAATTTTCCAAATTTAACTCTGTAAAATTGCCATAACCTTCACTATTTAGCATTGATAAACCCCGTTTTTGACGCGTTTTAATTTGGTATAAAATTTGTTATGGATAATATTTGAAATCATGCCATTATTCCCCTGGAAAAATATTTTTACGCATCCTGTCCTTCAGCAAGTCCACTTATTCAACAACAAACAAATAAGGAAAATTTGAGAAATATGTGTTTTGTTATTTTTAAACTTCTGAAAAATATCCGATATGTTTTTATTGTTATTGCTAATTTATTCGAAGGCATTCTATTGAAAGGTACAATCTCGTTTGTTTTTAAATATTATTTATAATATTTAAAAGTATCACAAATTTTTATTTTAGGCTTTGTACCATTTATTACTAAATATTTTGAATATCAACATCAATTGGATACTTCAACAGCTACATTAATAACTGGTGCCATTGCATTACTTTCAGTTATTATCGGTTGTCCAATAGGTGCCTATTTTATGAATAAATTTTCTTGGACACCAATACAATGTGCACGTGTCTGTACTATAATATTAATAATTTCATCATTTCTTTTTTTATCTCTTATTTTTTCTTGTCCTGAACTTAAATTTCAATATACATCATGTTCTTCTATGAATACACCATGTTGTCAACATATTTATCATCCAGGTAAAATACGAAATAAAACCACTATATTAACATAAGACTTGGTTTTTTTTCTTCGGATATCTTTTATTTAGTATGTAATATAAATGAACCTCAAAAAATGTATTTATCACCATGTCATTTTGGTTGTATTAATCAAACAATCATAACAAGTAATAATACTATGTTATATTCATTATGTAATTGTGCAGAAGATACAATTCTTAGTGAAACAGTTTGTCGATTTCGACGAATACCTTGTAAGATATTTTATTTTTTATTACTTAAAATAGATAGATTATCTAATTATATTCTCTAATAGGTATGACAATGTTTATTTTAACAATGATTGGTGCAACATTTCTAGTGTTTTTCACAGCATTTATTCAAGTTCCAATGTTACAAGTACTTCTATATAGTGTTTCACTACCTTATCAAAATATGGCACTAGCTATTCGACAAACTATTGTTCGAGTATTAGGACAAACAACTGGTCCATTATTATTTGGTTATGTTTTTGATCAATCATGTTTAGTATGGCTTACAGATTGTTATGATCGACAAACATGTAAAGTATATGATAATCGTCGAATGAGTTTATCAATGGCTTTATCAGGTTTTTCTATTCGATTAATATCTGGTATTGCTTGTTCAATTGTTTATTTCAATTGGAAATTTAAACATTCTAATCAAAATGATATTTCTTCAAATAATCTACATATGACATCCAATGAAGAACATGAAATAACTCGATTTTAATATATTTATTTTGTTATTTTGATAATCTGCATTAAAAATAAATAAATCTTTCTTATAATAATGAATAAAACATCTATTGAAAATTACAAAAACAAAAAAGCCAATCTACTTAAGCATGATAAACATCAGCAATACGTTTTAATTCAATTAATTGTTGTTCAAGTAATGAAATATCTTTATCAATAGATGTTAATGTAGCATTTTTTGATATCCATGTTTGAATAAGATCAGCAACAGAAATAATAACTGATACACCAAGAATTTTTCCACTTATAGTTCCAACTGTTTTAGCACCAGTTGCAAGAGCACTACCTAATGATGGTAATTGTCCAATTAATTCACCCCATGTTTTTAATGTTGAAGATGCTTGAATAGCTTCAGAAAGTTTTAAAAAATTGACTCCAGCTTTTGATACAGTATAACCAAGTGAATAAACTGTTACAAGCCATGTTGTTATATCTTTTAAATTTGATTCACATACTTTCATTGCCAATGAATCTTCTTTTAATAATTCATTATATTCTGTTCGAAGACGTTTTTCGATAACATTTTCTGTAATAGTTGTTCCTATGAAATTAAGAAAAATAAACAAACATTAGAATATATTAATAAAAATAAATTTTTACCAAGACTTGTAGCACTACCAGCAAGAAGAACAGGTACACCAACTGGTGGAAAAATAAAGCATAAAATTCCACCAATAATTGAAGCTGAATTACCAACTGTATTTGAAATTTTACAATTTTTAATATGTTTAGTTATTCGAATACGAAGTTGTTTTAATCCTTCTATTGTTATAGCACGTTTTTCAATAAAATTTTTTAATGGTTCAATTGATGGTGGTTCAATAATTGTAGATACATTTGATTTTTCTTCATCAATTATTGATTTTAATTCAACAAGTGTTGGATATGGTGTAAGTTTAACAATGTCATCATCAATTCGTTTTTCTTCATTTTTAGCTTCTATTACTGCTTCATTTAATATTGGATAAAAATTATTTGAATCGATTTTATTTTTTGTTTCATCAGATTTTTCAGGTAATGATATTAGACCAGCATTAGCTAGTGTTTCTATACTATCACTCATTGTTGCAAGATATCTAAATCAAAAAATAATAAAATAAATTAATCTCCCGCTTATTATCTCTCATCTTTCGTAACGTTGTTTCGTATGCTTTTTTTTTGTTTTTAAAGTTGTTTGTCATTTTTTTTCTGAGATTGTCAGTAACCAATAAAAAAGAATATTCTGTTTATCATTTGTTTATTACATTATATGATATATGATATCTGAGTCACAAAGAGATGGATGACATTTATATAACGCATTCTATTTTTCTGATATGACTTAAGCCACAGAAAGAAAAAGAAACAAAACTTTAATCATCAGTAATAACGGACACATGAAATCTTTTGAAGGTTTCTATATGAAAAAAAAATCTATTCAACTTTGATTCAGAATTTAGTTCTTGCCATTTCATAAATTACAAACAAATTTTCGATCAATAGTATGAAATGTATTCACATCTAGGTTTAAAATATTTTCATGTGCTTTGCATCAGTCTATTCAATTCTTTAAATCAATTGATGACGTCCAATCGGCCATACATACAATGTATATATTCTCTAGTTAGTTCGAAGGCATCACTATATTCTCTCTCTGTCGTTATTTTTCTTTTTCATATAAGTTAAGTATACATCAGTTGTTATTTTCTTATTCACAACAAATATCATTGTTTAAGATAAAACAATAAATTGTCTGAATAATCGCTGTAAATGATTGACATGCTTTAAGTGTTTTTGTTTCTCGACACATCCACCTACATATTTCAGAACCTATGTATAATAATGATTCATTTTTAAAATGATGACTATTTATTTTTGGATGAAAGTTATGAGTCAACAAAGGTTTGCACGTGTGTAATTTATTACGTACGTGTAAATTTCGACAACATTCTTTTTTTTCTCTACCCACATTATCTGTATTGATTGCTCATCGAAACCATGTTTTTCTTGGGAGAATGAGTCAACATATTTTTGAATAATGAAAACAGAAAAATATTCAGTATGAGTAACATACCGTAAAATATGTATATATATATATATATATATATATATATATACATGTAAAACATCATGCAGCATAATTTATAAGTTATTGACCTATCGAAAACGAAAAAAAAAACGCAATATGTCAACTGCTACTGCAACATACCGTGTGAATTATACAGAGTATATGGCTGAGTAAGAATCGAAAGTTTTTTTTTCATTTTCTGTTCCAATCAATAGCATAGGTTAATAGCAATAAAAATAAATAGAACCTTTTTTGTATTCTATGAGCAGTCGAAAAAGCATAGCAAATATAATGTCACATCTTAGAAATATTTTTCTTTCATTATATTTATCTTTATTTTTTTCATTGCAGTGTTACTAGTAGTCCAAAAACAACAAGAAAATCAGCAAATATAGGTTTTATACCAATTGATAATCCTAATCTCAATAGACAAAATCGAGGTATACAACAAACCGGTGCAATGCCAACTTACGGTGGTAGTTCTGAGAAATGTGCTCGATGCTCAAAAACTGTTTATTTAGCAGAAAAAAAAGTTGGAGCTGGTCGTGTATGTACTACAATTCATTTAAAATCAAAAAATAAATAAATAATATAAAATTCTTGTTTTTTAATTTTAGTCATTCCATGTGAGATGCTTTAGTTGTCGAACATGTAATCGAAAATTAGATGCAACAATATTATCTGAACATAAAGGTGAAATTTATTGTAAAACATGTTATACAAGACAATTTGGTGTTCATGGTTTGGCTAATGGTGTAACAATGACAACAGAAACTCCAGCACGTGAGAATCGTCCTTCACGTCGTTCATCATATGGTAGTGATCTTGATGCACCAATAATAACACATGAACAAATACGACAACGTGCACATTCAAATGATAATGCACTTCGTGGTGAACATAGTGCTATACAAAATGATGAATTACCAAAAATGTTTCCATGGCGTAATGATGTTATACCTGAACAACATTCATCATCAATCAATACTGAACATGATCGTATTGCTGATAAAAATTATCAACGACCAATTAGTCAAATTGGTTTTCAAAGAGTTATTGAATCAACTAATAGTGATAATAATTATCGTTATTCAACAAATAGTAGAGAAGATGATCAAAATCAATATGTATTTGATGATGAAAAAACATATTATGCTAATCGAACATCAGCTATTACTGATATACCTGTTATTTCACCACCTAAACGATTAGATTCAACAATTGAAAAAATTGCAATGCCAATAACACCAACAAAAAATGATGAACAATTTCGAAGTCCATCACCAATATCAACAGATATTTACCGACGACAAAGTAGTCGTGAACATCCAATTGATATATCAGGTATGTTAGAATGCAGGTTTTTTTTTCTTATTCTTTTCATCATTTATTCTTTTTTTTCTTCTTTATCATAGATAATTTTTCTCGTTTAACAATAAGTGAAAATCAACAAGAAATCAATAATGAAAAATATTCGAATGATAATAAAACAACAAATGTGATTACATCGGAAAATCCACTTTTAAAACCAACTTATTCTCATTCATCATCATATGAAAATAAACCAATAACATCGAATACAAATAATTTCTATCGTGAACAAAGTTATTCGAATGATAATAAAACAACGAATATGATGACTTCAGAATTTCCACTTGTAAAACCAACTTATTCTCATTCATCATCTTATGAAAATAAACAAACAACATCGAATACAAATAATTTCTATCGTGAACAAAGTCATTCACGTGATTCATCACCATCAGCAAATATTAATAGTAATCGATCACCTTCACCTACAAGTGGTTATGCATCATCAAGCGTACATGGAGAAGGTATATTACGTGATTCAACATCACCATCATCAGTCAATATGCCACAATATGATTATCTTAATGTAATTTATCTATAATTTTTGTTTTTTCAAAACAAAATCTGATTTTTTGAATTATTTTTAGGCTCGACCATCAAATACTAATGTTGTTGATCGACGTTCAACATCATCTCGACAAAATGAACGAACATCAGCTTTAAATGAATTTATTTCAAAAACAACTATGCCATTACCAACAGCTGGTGAAAAATATTCTGCAATCAGTGCTTTGGTTCAACCTATGCGACCATTTTCACAAATACGTCATTCAAATAACGATGATCTTGATGATTAAAAAAATGAATTCAAAAACAGTTTTTTCTTATGACATTTCGTTATTTTGTACCATGTAGCTGCTTATTATTTTCAACTCTTCTCTTTCTCCCTCCCCTCCCTGTTTTTTTTTATCTTATGTTAACATGTGTCATTTTCTAACATAAAGAAATAAAAACTAAAACAGATTTGTACAATTTTTGAATTTCGTATGCTATACGATTTCTATTTTGTGTCATTAGCATAAAAAAAAAAAACATACACAAATACACATACAATGAAAAAAAAAGGAAAAAAGAAACATACTCATAGGGGTTTTCTTTTTCTAGATTTATCAAGAAAAAAAGATTATGACGTAGTTGTTGATGATGGAGACGAAGATGTATTATCATTTATTTTAGTTTCAATTGTTTCTTTTGGTATAGTTGATGTTAATTGATGTCCTTGTTTCACTAATAATGCACGAAGAATAGCAGTAATATCAATAGGATTTGTTGATGTTGAAGAATCTGATTGAGAAATTTTCGCTATTTGTGGACGTTCAAGAAGTAATTGATTAAGAACTTGAACAGATGGTAAAGATGGTTTTTCTTGTATATTATTTATGGGAATTGATGTTTTACGTCGTTGTACATCATCTACTGATGAATTTATTGATTCAAGACGAACAAAATATGAATGATCATGATAAACAACATATGCAGGAGAATTGGGATCAACAGTGATATATATTGGAACAGAAGAAGTTGAATGACGAGCCTAAATAAAATGAATTAATATTAAACAGATGGCTTGATCTAAAGATGTGTATGGTCAACTTTTCCCGTAGTCTTCATCCTGACTGAAAAAAATTTCCAATCCGTTTTTTATCTTACCCTGCATAGTAGAATCGGATAAGATAGGAAAGGATAGAACCAGGTAGGGTAGAATACGATACGATCCGAGTCCGAGTCCAAAGTTTTATCTTTTTTGTCAAGTCCGCATTCATATTTTTATTTATTTTTTTTGGATCTGAGTCCAACTTTGTATTTTCTGTCGAGCTCGATTATACGTTTTTGTGGACCCACTGCTTCTCAGATGAGAAATACAGCAACCAGATATAACTGTACGTTGAGTTTTTTTCTGAGAGTAGCGAATAAATGGCTAAAACCTTGATCCTTTACTTATTCATGTACCCGAAAGGTGGTAGGTATTGATGGAAAAAACCTCGGGTTTGGATTCACGTTTTCGTGGATCCGCAGCTTCCTAGGGTCGGGTAAGATAGTATAGCGTAGCTTAGGGTAACCCAGTACATATCTAGCTTGATCAATTAATATAACATACGCGTTTTGAACTTGGCATTGGTGTATATTCAGGTTCATTATCATCATCATCGTCATCACTGAGACCAGCTAATTGTCGATAATTTTTTCTAGTTCTTGTATTATTATTTTTATCTCGTGTTATAATTGTTGATTTTTTTAATGGATTTTCTCTATGATTTAAAGCATCTATATCATCATCTAGTTGTGGTGTAACTGGTTGACATTCAGACCAACATTCTTTAAAATAGTGAAGAAGACGATTAGCTAATCGACCCAAAACTAAAAATGAAAGAAGATAATTAAAAAAAACAAAGTAAATTGAATTAATTTTCATTACTGCTTCGTTTGCCATTGTACTGTTCACAATTAGCAACCATTAATTCAATATCTTGAACAAATTCTGTAGAATTATTAACATAAACTTTATTATTTATTTTTTGTTG